TGTGAACCACACGTGTCACGAGAGTTTCTCTGTCGAACGGGGCAAATCTCACACTGGGCACTCAAAGTGAGTGGTGATCAAGGTGAAGACCATTAGAAGTCTCTTGGCTTAAGCAAAGTGGCTCGAGAAGGGAACGAGCTGCATCAATGACTTCTGTGGTGGCTGGACGGGAGCATGTAAGGTAAAGATGGTGGCCCAGTCCTAAATCCTAGAGTCAGAAGGGACTACATAAACCGTCGAATCCACCTTGGTGGTCAGTGCAGGAAACCACATTAAGGCATCCAGACAGATGGCTGTCTAGTTCCTACTTGAACACATCCAATGAACTGAAATCCACTATTTCTCCAGGTCATTGGTTCTTCCTGTAGGGAGGGTCCCCCCCCCCCGATATTTAATGAGAATCTGCCTTCCTGTAACCTAAATAAATTACTCTGTGCCCTGTGCTCTGGAACAAGAGAGAGCGGGCAGTCTGGACCTGCAGTACCTTTCAGGCCCCGGAAGAATCGATCATACGCTCTTTGTTCGCTTCTTCCAACAGCCAGCTCCTTTGGTCTCCCTTGATAGGGCTTACTTTCCAGCAGCCTTCTCAGCCTGTTCCAGCGTCTTAGAATCTTTCTTAACGTCTGGGGCCCTGAGCTGGAAGTAGCCCTGAAGGTGTCTTTCGACCAGTTCAACTAACGTGAAACAATTGCTTCCCATGATTTAGAAACTACACTTCTGCGGATGCTGCCTAAAATTGCACATTTTGGGGACTTTTTGCAGCCACAACCCAAACTCATTTAATTTGCAGTCATGTATTATTAGCCAGTATCCTGCTTCTGTATGTCTGCCCTTGATTTCTGTGGCCTGGATGAAAATTTATTCTATTATTTTCAGCCTATCAAGATCACTTTATTTGTCTTCTAAGTTGTTAGTCAGAAGATTAACAACATTTCTTGTCCTCCAGTCATCTAGTATTTCACCAGTTTGTCGAGGTTTCTCAGACAATACGTACGGGTTTCAGCCAGAGCCTCAGGGAGGTACCCCTGATCGTGCTTCTGCCAGCCTCAGGCTTCGCTCCTGTCCCTTCATCCTTCTCTGCACGCTTTTTGGGGAGAGCACATTTTGTTGGAGAGGCTGAACGGAAAAAGGAGTTGCGGAGCCATCCTTTCTCTTCCCTGGCAGCTAGAATTTGATTTTTCTTTTGAACATACCAGAAAGGCCTACTTGCAGTCCTTTGCATCTTCGGCTAATTTCTGCTCACGTTCCTCTTTGTGCCTCTTCTTGCTTTCAGGTTGTTAGCAAAGCCTTCATGTACCTTCCTTAGGCCCCTGTACGAAAGCGTGCTTTGCGTGTCTCCTCTTCTAGCAACTCACACTGCTTCCCAAAGGCTACTCCTAATTGTTGTTACTGTGGTTGTTACTGCTATTATCATTGTAGCATTTTGTGTGAACCAAGCCCATATTGGTTAGTTTATGGTTCAGTGTATAGAAAGAGCTCAGATAATTCAACAGTCAAGTTAAGGGTGTTGGAGGATCACAGCAACAGAGTGCCAGGCTCCCCCCCCCCCATTTTTAGCTGATCGTAATTCTATGCTCCTGGCCTCACCCTCAAGTTCTGGAAAGCATTTTATTTATTTTGCACTTAAGATATTCTAAGCCTCGCATTGAGGATTGTAATTCAAGCTCTGTGCCAAGAAAAGCCGGATTCTGTGTCATGAAATAAATTATCCAAATGGTGCTAATTTGCATACTTTCTCTCTTGCATAGTTTCCTCCAATCTTGCTAACTGGGAAAGAGGCAGCGCCTTGCGAGGCAGCGCAAATCAGCCTCTCTCTGGTTTCGGAGGTCCCAGTCACATGGAGCAGAGACTCGAGAGTTGCTCTCCAGCAGGGCAGGGTGAAGGGGGGGCTCCTGCCAGGCCGGGTGGTCGATTCTTGGCAGTGTCAGTTGGCCGTGTGGAATCTGGCCTTAAGAATGATCTCCGGCTCTTTATCTGCTCCAAACTGTTCTACTTTATCTGGCCCTTTCCTCAAAGCTGCTGGATTTCCCTCCGAGCCTCTCTTCCCACCGCAGCCTCACGTATCTGTCCGGGAGGGAAAGTCAGAGGGATCTGGAGAGTAATCCTGAGTCTTGCTACCACCACGTTTCCTGCCCCCCCCTTGCTGCCCCCCAGTGATGACTTTTGCCTCCTGGTCTTTGGAAGTCTGCTGCTTTTTCTCTGACCCCTGGGATGTGGTTTGTGTGATTGCATACCCAGTCAATGCACAGGATAACCTTGGGTTGAGAAACCCTTTTTATTACAAAAGACTACTTACAAAATAAATTGTGCTGCTTACATTAGCCGGTATTGTGAATGGTCCTTTACAGAGATTTTGTATTCCATTTCCTAAACGGCTCTTATATTTTAATCCCTCTTAAAGTTTCTTCCATGTGTCTTATTTACTGTCCCTGTTGCTTTCAGCCGCGTGCCTGGTTGCTTCCCTCTTTAAGTTTCCTGGTTCATTTCTAACAAGGAGCTTTCTTCACTCCCCATCCTCCCCCCATCTCACCTTGTCTGGGAAAGTCCTGGTTTCTTGGCAGTTTTCCTTTCTTGCACTTTACTTAGCTAGTTTGCTTGCAGGGAAAAGTAAAGGAGGAAGCCAGATGGACATTTTGGAACTATTTGCTGCTGTTCTGAATATGTTTGTGCCCCTTTCAGCTGCTGTTCTTTTTCTCTGGATTCCCAACCACAAATTCTTGAATGTGCTGGACCAACAAGACATTCTCTCTTGACCTTAATCTAAAATCTCTTCCCCCAGAAGCCTTTTGAATAGACACCTGACTCTGCTGTCCTCTTCTTCCATTGATGCTTTTAATTTGCACCCTCTCCCTCAGTTAACCCCCGCGTGTGGGGAAGATAAGGCCCCCACAGCCCGTGTACCTTCTTGACAAGAACAAAGGAAGCAAATGCTAAGAATGACATACGTGTTGTAGCACTGCTTCCTAGGACTATAGTGTGAAGCGTATGACTAGGAAAATTGTGCCCCCCACCCCCATGGATCAACCTCACACATGGTAAATGGAAAAGAGAAGATGCAAAAATCCTTTTTCAGCTTTCAGTAATCACAGGTAAAACATTCAGTGACAAAGGAAATAAAAATACAGTGCTGTGAAATTACTTATAACCTCTCAAGAGAATCTTCAACAAGAAAAGTTGAAAAACTGAACAGACCCCAAGATGTTATTGATTTGTTTCCTATGGTACAAAATTACTGAGCTTGCATGGAGAAAATACACATCAGAGTTCATAAGGCTGACTTAAATACACACCTAGATTCTTGTAGCATTGCAACTTTTAATCAGAGGCTCAAGAGCAATATTATTTTAGCTCCTTTTTACCCATTTATTCTGGCTCAAGGTGCCCAACCCCTTGGTATTCCTAACTCTCATATCTCTAGGCTGGGGTGGTATGATTTTCTGCCATTTTGAGTGAGGAAACTTGAAAACTATAATGTATAATTTCAAAAACCAGCCTGGCCCCACCCATGGCAGCCTTCAGGCTTCTCCCAGCTTTCAGGGTGTCCTTTGGCACCAAAGGTTGGGCACCCTTGCTCTCCATGGACCCGTCTGGACCTTTGGGCCTGAACACCATTGAAATAAGGATGCAGCACAGTGTAGGAGGATTTTCTCTCACAAATCTCCCCAAGCTCCTTTAAAACAGAAACGAATGCCCCATTTTCTTGAAGCCCAAGTTTTTCATTACAGTACTGGAGGCAGCAAACGCAGCCCTGAAAAGGGGCTGCGTAGGACAAGATTAGTCCCGGCACCCTGTTTTCTGCCTCACGTTTTCTCCACGGATCTGGAGAGGCTGCTCTTGAACCTGTGACCGGGGACAACTTGGGGGAGAGTTTGTGGGACTTCCTTAAAAGGTTGTTAACTCTGTTTTACAACTTACGCTTTGCTGGATGAGCATTTCATGATTTACTTACCCGAGAGGGTGAGCAGAGTTTCTAAAAGCTCCTGATGCTCATGGAGTGCTTGGGTGTGCAGCGTGATCCGTGCTTTGAATCTGGGGCCCCCTCTGGTAGTTGCATCTGTGAAATGGGCTTTAACCTAGGGCTCAGCAGCATTGGCTGATTTCCCTCCCTCTGCCTACAGATGTTGCAGCTGTCTTGTGCGAAGGGCAGGGTGCCCTTCCTGGCCCTCTGGCACCTCTTCCACCGCCCAGCTGCATTCCTGAGCACCCAACGGGTGGAATACAAGCCGATCCAGAAGGTGATGGTAGCCAACCGAGGTGAGTCGGTGGAGAGGGCAGTGTTCTAAAAGTGGAATTGCTGGGGTCTGCTTCTGCCCCCCAGTGCCTGGCTGAACTGGCTTTGTCAGAGCCATCTCATCGGCCTAGAACTTTGGAACCTACAGTAAACAAAAACTCTCAAACAATCTGACTGGCTGGTTTGGGTTTCTTTGAACTTGATCCAAAATGCTTTTTAAAAAGCGATAACCACTTACCCTGAAGTTGCCCCCTCACCCTTTCCTGTGCTCTTAACACTTGTGAATTCCAGGGGAGATTGCAATCCGTGTCTTTCGAGCATGCACGGAGCTGGGGATCCGGACAGTGGCAGTGTACTCCGAGCAGGACATCGGGCAGATGCATCGACAGAAGGCAGATGAGGCTTACCTCATTGGTCGTGGCCTGCCCCCCGTTCAGGCGTATCTGCACATTCCAGACATCATCAAAGTCGCTAAGGTGAGAAGCGAGAAGGCCCAGCGCACTCCGCCTGTGCCCTGGATGACTGAAGACAAGGGCAGTATTCCCATCATATGCCAAGCCCAAACCATCAAACAAAGAGTGGGGCTGCTCTTGGGGCAGTTTGCTGAAATCATACACTGGTGTCATCAGTGTGCTGGCGATGCTCAGTTGTATATCTTGATCCCAGACTGGCCGAGCGATGCTGTCAGAGTCTTGTCCCAGTGCCCGGAGCCTGGATCAGTCCTAGCAAGACTGAGTAGCCACTCGGGGTTCTCAGATCACCTTTCTCAGACTTTCCAGGTTTGGTCCTGAATGGGGTGGCGCTTCCCTATTTGGGGCCGCTGTGGCCGGGAAGGCCTTTGCATAGATCCATTTTGTGTGCCAGCTGTGCCCGATACTGGACTGGGAAGCTCTCACACCTCGGTCACCTCGCATGCAGACTGTTGCGTTCTACACGGGGCTGCCCTTGAGGGCTACCTGGAAGCTGCAGTTGGTCCAGAATTTGGCAGTGCGATCAGTAATGGGCAAGTCTCGTTATGCCATGTAACCCTTCTGCTGCCTGAACGGCACTAGTTCCCAGAAGCTTCTGGGCGCAATTTCGGATGCTGCTTATCACCTACAAAAGCCTACTCATCTGAGGAACCATCAGATTCCCAAGGTTTCTGCCCACCCTAAATAGTCAGGCATTGCTGGCCAGCCAGAAGACAAATAGAACATTTGTGCTGGTTGATAACTACAGTTGTGAGCTGATCAGGTCCGCCGTCCATGCAGTTCCAGCCTCTGGCCTGGTGCAGGAAGCCAAAGCAGACCGTCCCTAACCGACGGCCCTCTGGTGCTTGCCCAGTACATCCAGCAAAGGGCAGCCCAGCGCTTCTTTCCTCCAGCCACGCAGGGTTTGAGCAAGTAACCTCGGTGTCCTAGGATGTAGCGTCTGTAATTGGATTAAAACTAACCCAGGATGAGATCTAGTGGTGGGGAGGGGCTCATTCCACGTCTCTTCCCTTAGGAGGTGCCTTTTTCTGAACTCACGGAGGTGGGCCTTCTGTTGAAACCCAATCCTCCAGATATCTGAATGCCCCCCCCCTGCCCTTCAGATCTTTAGGCATCCGTGAAACCATCAGGCCTTGAGGACTGGAATCATGTAACTGGTTCTCTCTAGCAAGAGAGAATGTCCTTCGCTCGTGTGTATTGATTCCCAGTGCTATATACAGTGGTACCTCGGTTCATGAACGCTTCTGTTCACGACCAATTCGGGTCACGAACAGCTCCGTTTGCAAAATTTTGCCTCGGTTCGCGAACGCCGGATCGGGTGACGAACAGGATCCGCGGCCATCTTCCCTCCCGTGACACGTGGTCGCGGCTTCCTGTAGGGAGGGGGACTCTCCCTCCAAGCAATAACCGCCTCCCCACCCGCCTTCCTGTCCTCCACGCCAGAAGTCGCGTCGAGCAAGGTTAGCGTTCTCTCTCTTCGTACTGTACTTTGTGTCAAATTTTTGCGGTTTTAAAAAACAACAAACATATGGTTCAGAACGGATTAGCCGTAATTACATTGAACCTTATGGGGAAATTTGATTTGGGTTGCGACCAATTTGGGTTGCGACCAGCATCGCAGAACGAATTAAGTTCGTGACCCGAGGTACCACTGTACTTCTATTCCTCGTTATTTTTTTATTTGAGGTTGCTGCTATTTTACCGTCTCCTTTAGCCTGATTTACAAAGGCTGGGATGTGCACTACTCAAAGTTGGCTTTGATTGGGACAGCTTAGAAGCATGGTAAAATTTATCAGTCAACCTTACTTGGAATTTGGAGCCGTTACACTGGCACTAACAGAATTTCAGAAAACATTTGGGGATAATCGTGCTCTTGTCCTAATGCACACATTTAACTCTTTTTGGATTCATTGCAAAATTTTGAGACGTGCAATATTGAAACATATGAAGCCACAACATTAGAAGTGGCACATGATGTTCACCTCCCTCCAGCCGTGGCCGAGACTGTTGCCTTTATTGGTTTCTGCAAATGGCCTCCCAAGTTTATCAGAGAAGGGGGGGAGGGGGGGCTAGCAAGACATGCAAGCAAAAGCATACTTATAAAACAATAGAAAGAAAAATAATAGAAGCCAGATAAAAAATAATCAACTCCTCAGTCAGCAGAGGACAAAAACACCGACACCACTAACACTCTGAACTGTTGTTGACCTACAATCAAATATGAGGGTTGGAAGGGGTCTTGGAGATCACCTGGTTGGTGCAGCCTCCTTCCCGACCCTTGGAAGCTGCTTCTTGGAAGAGGAGCTGTGAATATGACAACGCATCTTCTCTTCTCGTTTTACATCTCCCTGTTCTTCGGAGCAGCTAACGTGAGAGGCCGAATTCTTCTGTGTCCACCAGTAGTGCTGCCAGAGGGTTATAGCCAGTTCTTTACAAAAGATTTCTTGTAAAAAGGAATTTATGTGGACATAAAAGATTTATACAGTATGAGAAGCAGCCTTCTTGTTGCTGCAGGTTTCTGCTAACGTGAAGGAATTTTAGTCAAGTGAAACAAGATGGCAGACTGGCAGGCAGCGTGCCTGTCTGGGATTAAGGTCTGAGCTACAACTGGGCTGAGTCAGCAGCTGACCCAGTATGTCCGAACGTGAGCACACACGGCTGCAGCTTCCATGCCCCTGATGCCGCACTGCTTGGGTCGGATTCTTGTGGGACACAGTGGGAATTCTTTGCATGTATGTTCTGGATGCAAAGGCTCTTTCCTAAAAAGATAAGCTGCTCTCCAGATTATTTTCGCTCTTTCTGAGTTACTGTAAAACCCTGGAGCGACCACCGGGATAGACGTTTCTAAGCAAGCGGGCCCTGATTTCCCAGCCCTTTGCCCCTCCCAGGAATGGCTCGCTTTGGATTGGCTTCCAGCTCGGTATCACAGGGGTGCAGAGAGGCCGGTTTGTTTTCACAGCCACTGCACAGGCGGGAAGGTTAAGAAATGTGGGCGCAGCCAAGATGCAGAGAGTTGGGTGGGGCCCCTTCCCTCTTGGGTTCAGACCCCTTCGCCTCTGGAAGCCTGTGTAGATTTTTTTTCCCTCAGCTGATGGCAAGTGGAAGCGTTTGGGCTACATTTGGGACAGACAGATTTCCTTCTGAAATTCTCACTCCCTCTGCCCACCCTCCAAATCTTGTCTGCAGCATTGGGGCACCTCCCAAGACAGATTGAGGGTGTCTGCAGAGGGACAGATAAACATCTGTTGCGCAAGCAGATACAGTTCACGTGGATGATATTGGATTGAAGACTTTGAAAGTAATCTGTTTTAGATACATGTCTGTCCACAAAGCCTTCAGCATAAAATTAAGTTTTTAGTTCAACAGATGTTTAAACCAGTACCTATACATGGTGTTTTTGTGTGTGTTTTTCATCTTTTAGACATGTTTGCAGGAAAGAAACAGCACATAACCTTTCTATATAAACAGATTGTCCAGTTTAGAAACCTCAGGGCTGCTTTGCTTGAGTGAGCAAAGATTTCCAGCGGTTCCTGCTTTTTCCAGGAGAATGAGGTGGACGCGATCCACCCGGGCTATGGCTTCCTCTCCGAGCGAGCTGACTTTGCCCGGTCCTGCCTGGAAGCTGGCGTGCGCTTCATCGGACCCTCTCCTGAAGTGGTGCGCAAGATGGGTGACAAGGTGGAGGCCCGTGCTATTGCTATTTCTGCTGGTAAGACTTGCCTCACAGTGAGAGAGACGCCAAGGCCAAATGTTACACAGTGACAGAACTGCGGTTTGTTAACTCATTTTGGCTTAAGGAGGTGGCTTATTTTACTCAATCTGCTAGGACAGTGAAATGATCGTTCTATGGCTTCAGTCCTGTGAAACCTGGTTCTCCCGTTCAGAAGTCTAGGAGCCATTTCCAAAATAATCAAGAGTGCAGCCTACCCTGCCCAGTCAAGAGAGGCAAGCCTCTTTCCCTTTATACTGAAGAGCTGCAGAAAACAAAACGGGGTCTTCCTGCCATCCTCACGTTGTAACCGTAAGCTTCTTTCTGACTCAGCGTTGTGAGAGACCAGCTTTATTTCTCGTCCAGATGGCTACAAGAGAGCTCCAACAAGTACCATCATATGGCCTGATATTGTATTTTTAGCGGATGAATCGCACTGCAGGCAGGCATTGTGATAGCTTGGTTTTGATACCTTGATCCTCTGAGGTGCATTCTGGTGAGGTTAGGTCTACCCCCACCCCAGTTTGTGTATCTATACGCACCCCGTTAACTTTGTTCCAGTTTCCCTGTGGCTCAACATACACTCAAGATTCGAAACAATGTTAGCTAATTCTCTCTGTTCCATGCAATTTGCAGTCTGAAATCATAGAAAATAATGGTTGAAAGGGACCAAGAGATCATCTAGTCCAACCCCAGCCCTGTGCAGGAACCCACTATTGCAGCATCCCATCCAACCTCTGTTTAAACGCCTCCAGCCAAGGAAAGTCCATCAACTGCTGAGACATCTGATGCATTTCCCTGTGCATTTTAAGCTCCTTGTGCCCTGGCCTGTCTTCTGGAACCACTCGGAACCGCTCTGCCCTGTCTTCTGCATGACACCTCGTAGATCCCTGAAGGCAGCTATCATTTCTCCTCACCGTCTCCTCTTTTTCTTGGTTTCTCTCCTCTGGACGTGCTCCAGTTTGGCAGCGTCCTCCTAAACTGCAGGGCTCAGACTGGGCGCAGAGTTGCCTGAGAAGTGCCGAACAGAGAGGAGGGAGGGTTTTGCTACCCACCCATTGTTGCCTCATTAGCAAAGGGCACTTTCTAACCCCTTGTCCAAGTCATTTATAAATATGTTGAGCTGCACAGGGCCTAGGAAGGGCCCCTGCATGATGCCCCTCAACACTTCCCCCATTTTGACATGGAGAGGTTGAAGGACAACCCCTGTCTCGCCATCTTCTCTGCTAGAATGTTATGGGAAGCTTCGCAGATGCTTTGGGAGAGTCAGGGCACTGATGCACTTTTATTCCCCCGGTCAACTCAACTAGTTGCTCTATTGAAAAGGTGCTCAGGTTGTTTGGACATGGATTATTCTTGAGGCACCCGAAATAAGAAACCCCAAATAAAATCCACAGCCAGTCAGTGGGGACCAAACCTATGCTGAAATAGAACAGTTTGATCCTGTTTCCAGAAGAACAGCAAGGAAGGGGTGCATGTACTTCTGGGGGGACAGTATTCCCTGAAGTGGGGGCTACGGCAGAGAAGGGCAGGCCTGCTCTCAAGGACTAGAGCATAATGCCGCCTTTTTTAAATGTCTGCAAACTGCCTGCTCTGTAATCTGTTCCAGCGTTTTGCCCAGCATCAGCCTCGAGCTGGCCATCTTGCGGACAACTCTCTGAGAGGCTTGCAGCCAAGGTCATCCTCCTTACTGGCTCTCAGGTGTAACTGGTCTCAGACTTGAACATCACTCCCCTTAGAAGACTGAAGCAAAGTAGGAGCTGAGGTCCTCCACCCACTCAGGTTACCTCCCATCTTCTGTTGCCAGCTGCCACCACCCCCTTCTTGTCCAACCTTTACTGTAGCCACTTGAACCTTTCCGACTTACTTTCTGTGGATATTAGCTACCTGTTGGTGACTCACCTTGGTGACTGTACCCTGCAGGACAGCGTTTCCCCTTAATCCCTATTTAACTGCAGTAAACCAACAGCTGAAGAATGCTTTGAAGTTCCTGTTGATCTGTGTTCACAAGGTGTTCTCTTTGAGGAGAAGATCAGAGTTAGCTGGCAAACGTTTATTTTATCAAGTTGGTTACGGCATCATTCTATCAGTTTCCTGCATCCCTTCTTAGCAACAAACAAGGTTGATTTAGGAAATGAACAAACTTGCCCTTGGTCATACATAGTTATTTCTAGCATTCTTCCTTCACCAGGAACTGTGCAAAAGTAGCTTGCTGTTGTTTCTTGCACAGCCTGTGCTTCTGATCACTTATTTCCCTCCCTGCCAATACAGTGCTGTTTTTTCCACCTGCCCACCCAGTCTGAGCAAGCAGGAAATGCCTGCTGGAGCCAGACCCGTAAGTGTGACAGAAGTGGGATTCTCTGTGGGAGCTCCCCTATTTTGGAACAGCTCATCCTCAAAAGCAAAGCGGGCCCCGTTCTCTGGCCTTCTGAAGGCTTTTAAGTGGCAGGTTGCTGCCCAGATAATTTAATGTTTATAACTTAGATGTATTTCTCTCCCCAAAGCCACAATGGAGTTCCCCCCCTGCTCCTGGCAGGCCTGCGGATGGCTGACTCTGGAGACCTTTGGGACAGACATTCCTTGGTCGTCCCCTTCCCAATACACAAGAGTTCCCTGATGCACAAGAGTCCCTGCAGGCGATCATGTCTCCCAGTTTGGCATCCAGACACAATCCCTGGGGACGCTGCTCAGGCAAATGGCACCAGAAGCTGAGACTTACTGGGGTTTGTTTCTCTTTGCTCTTCAGGAGTGCCTGTGGTGCCCGGGACAGATGCCCCCATCTCCTCTCTGAACCAGGCGCAGGAGTTTTCCCAGATGTACGGCTTCCCCATTATCTTCAAGGCTGCCTATGGTGGAGGAGGACGGGGCATGAGGGTCGTGCGCAGCTATGAGGTAGGGAGCGTGGCTCCTTGTTCAATCCTCCTGGGGTTGGCTTTCCATCAGAGCTTTGCTTGACTGGGGCCTTGAACTCAGTGGGAAGAAGTGAGGTCCAGGCAGACTGTGGCCTACCCAAATTGCGGGTGGGGGCATGGGAGGCAGAAGCACTGGGGGATTCATAGCTGGAGAAAAGCTTTCTGGGGGAAAGGGTCTGGGCTGGTGAAATGGGGAGTCACAGTTGCGCATTAACAGCCAACATGGGCCCCATTTTCTGCTGGCAGGAGCTGGAGGAGAACTACACCCGGGCATTTTCTGAGGCCCTTTCTGCTTTTGGGAATGGCGCTCTCTTTGTGGAGAAGTTTGTGGAAAAACCGAGACACATCGAAGTCCAGATTTTGGGTATGGAATGAAATGGTTGCGTGTCCCTTCTTCGTGTGGAGTGTAGCAGTGAGAGATGATTTCTGTATTTGAGAAAGATAGACACAAAAATAAAGATTTTGTTCTGGACTGTATGAAAAGAACCCAGACAAACTTAAAGATTAACTTTGCTGAAACAATTTAATTAAAAGAAACGTAACATTTTTATTATGGTCACTGACTAGAAAAGTAAATAATTTAATTATGTTGAAAAAGTCTTTTGACTAAAGAAATTTAATGGCCAGTTAACTTATGAGTTTATTAACTTGAGTGATTTGTATGACTAAAGTAACAGCTTTTAAGAAAAGAAAAGGATACATTCAGCCACCTGAGTTTGAGCAATAACAGGTCTGTGATGCCCTTAGGTGTCTGGGCCTGCACGCGCACTACCCTGACTGGCTCAGCGCGTGTCTACCCTATGCCGACAGTTGCGGGTAACCCGTTGAACCCCAATCGTGATGGGGATCAGGGATTGCAATTATTACCTGTGAACGAGGAATCCCCAGTAAGCGCGGGTCATAAGCGTGCATTGATTAAGTCCCTGCCCTTTGTACACACCGCCCATCGCTGCTACTGATTGGATGGTTTAGTGAGGTCCTCAGATCGGCCCTGCTGGGGTTGGCCTTGTCCCTGGCAGAGTGCCAAGAAGGCGGTTGAATGTTTGGCACTGGCGTGACAAGCTGAAAAGGGGAATTCTTCCTTCGATAGAAACAGGTTATCCTGTGCCAGTTAGGAGGAGTCACGCTTCTAAGAAAGCCTTTTCCAATTCACAGAGGCTGCCTAGTTAGTTTATGCGGCATTTCCCGCACGAGACAGGGAGTCTCAGCATTGTCCCAGCTTCACCTTTTGCCTGGTTTCTCCTCGGCAGGTGACAAGCATGGAAATGTGGTGCACCTGTATGAGAGGGACTGCTCCATCCAGCGACGGCACCAGAAAGTGGTAGAAATCGCACCAGCCTCCCACCTTGATTCCCAGCTGCGGTCTAAGCTTACTGGTGACGCTGTCCGTCTGGCCAAACAGGTGAGGGACTGCAAACAGCCCAGCTGTCTTGGGGGTGGGGGTCTTGGTGGCGAGCCAAGTGAGTCCCCAGCAAGAGGCCACGGTGGCCGCTTTGAATCCCGCATAACTCGGGGGAAGGTCCTGCTCAGTGTCCATGGCAGCCCCTGTTCTGGGGGAGAAGCCCAGCTGCCAGCCTGAGCAAAGGGAACGGAATCCCCCAGTCATTGCCTTTTTGGACAGGGAGCAAGACATCAGGGTTCCTGGGTCAATTTGGCAAAAGCTGAAATTGGCCAGAGGCTTGATATGGCCATGGAAGAATCTTTATGGCAAGCTAAGACGCAGCTACTTTAAGCATAAATTGCCCTCTGCAAACTGCAGCCCTGCTTTTTCCCTCCTTTCCTCCCCATCTACCAATATTGCTGTAAGCTGCTACAGGTCGATTATGATCCAGTGGCTGGCTAGGCAGACAGGCAGAACTTAACTTGAAGAAAGGAAAGACTCTATGGAATTTGTCTCAGCCTGGATTACAGATTTCTACTGGCATCTCTTCCTCTAGTAGAAAATTGCTTGTCTTAACTCAAGCCTTGAACTTTGAATATTGCTGGTATTCTTGTATGAAGATTCTGCATGTGCTACTGAATTCCACTTACCACATTCTTTTTTGCAGGTTGGATATGAAAATGCTGGCACAGTGGAGTTCTTGGTGGACAGACATGGCAAACATTACTTTATTGAGGTCAATTCCCGACTTCAAGTTGAGCACACAGTGACAGAAGAAATCACAGAGTAAGTGACTTCCTACCCTTGATATTTTGATGTTGACAGATTCTGACATGCTTTCCTGTGATCTAGAGCAGCCTGGCCTTCATTCATTCATTCTGGGGAATGAAGAGCTAATAGGAGTCAGGCCTGGCCATAAAGGGTGAAAAGGTGATTTCCTGAATACAGTAATTGCAGATTGTGGGCAACTGGGTAAGTGCTTTATGCTGAATAAACAGAGCCCGTAAGAGGAATGCAAGGCAGCCTAGTTCCAGGGAATGAGCTCACTGAGAGAGCAAACAAGGGGGGATTAACAGGAGTCTGCTGAGGAATTCAGCAGTGAGAAGAGAGAAGGGACCAGAGAAATGGTGGCTCTGAGGGATTGTCGGCTGGGCTACGAGGGGAGACAAGATCATCTCCTAAATAACTTCGGATGTGCCTGAAAGCTATTAATTGACCTCTAACAAAGTGGCCACGGGATTGGAAAAGGTCAGTTTACGTTCCAATTCCAAAGAAGGGCAATGCC